GAGTATCTTAGGCGAAGCATCCACTAGCCTAGGGACAGAACACATGCTGAACACGAAATAGGAGCGCACTAGGGTCTTTAGTGATGGTCGTGGAGCTGTCGCCTCTTCCTCATAGTCTGCATACACGCGATAAGCACCCAAGCCTAAGCTAACCGACAGTAGAGCAGTGGCACTTAGAGATGCCGTTCTAATTGTTATCCCTGGTCTAGAGACATGCGCGTTGGTGCTATAGCGAGCCCATCTTCTTGGTCCTGTAGCTTTGATTCCAGCCTTTCGTGCGATAAACTTGAGATTCGGTGCAGCAGCTCTGAGCATAGAAATCCTTTAGCAGATCCTCGTGGTGGTAAGAGAAAAGAGAATGTGAAGAATCGCAGAACTAGTGGCCATGTCGGATCTTGTGTTCGCGTAATTGTGGTCAGGGAACAGGCTTCGGATAAGACCCATTATTCAGGTCTAAGATTAGATTGCCGGTCCGGATCTGAATAACTTTCTCTGACTTCAAAATGTTTCATTTACGCAACGGAAAGGAAGATAAAATATCATTCGTGGTTCTGGATGAAGTACACATTTTTTTGTAGTTCGATTAAGCCAGAGCAGCGATGACAGCATTGTATGCTGCCTTGGGCTTGTAGTTAGCGTCGAACAACAAGGGAGTGGAGCTTGCGCGCCAGGAGTTCTGTTCCAACAAGAGTCAGAAAGTTGCACGGAGCACAATATGCGAGAACTTACGGTGTCACTAACACCCCAGCTTGTGATTGCGACACAGCCAGCGGTATTCAAGCAGGCCTTGGTAACAGTGCTGTAGTCGTTGGCCGATGCACCAGCGATATCCAGTTCAGTGATTCCGACCTCAGTTCCCGCTCCAGCAAGAGCGGTCAAGGCAGCCTGAGCACCACCAGCTCCTCCGGCCTAATGAGTTTCGATTAGTTTACGACGACATGGTAGTTGACATCCACGAACTGAGAGATGCATCTGTGTGCCGATACCATCAATGAGCTTGGAGTTTGCGTTGACACGCTTCACAAGGGCGACCATTCCTGTCAAATGCTTTAGTCAATAAAGAGTATGTGAAAAGCATACAGAGCTACCAACCTTGAACTTTAGCATTGTTGGAGTCAAGGTTGTAATCGTTGATGTAAAGTCTAATCAGAACATGTCAGAAGTGCCGTTCGAAAGGTCATAAGGCACCGTAGGTACTTGGCAGTGCCATCAGTAGCACGGGCAGCTGTAAAGGCGATGGTAACAAAAGACTAAAAGAACCACGATTTTAGAGGTGAAGGGGGACAAAATGGGTTATTTCTTACCTCGCCGAGGACATTACTGAACACGCTTGAGCGAAGACTGCCGTCTTCGTTGAAAATTTCGCTGAGATTCAAGTTTAGGTCATTCATAAAAGAAGGCTTATCGGAGAACTCACTTGCAAACATCCCACTAGACGAAGCCGAGATGGTCAACGTTATTCAGTACATATTTGATAATGACTTACAGCTGTGAAAATGATGTGGTGAGTATCAAGAAAAGCATATGTATAACGTTACGTACCGTAGAGCTTGCCCTTGTACCTTCCAGCAACGTTGGTAATATGATTTTGGATGACAGACGTCTTTGCCAAATGATTAATCAAGAGCCGGATTCCTAGAGTATGGCACATACTAGGGTGGCCTTGTCGCCGATGGCAGACACCCAGGAAGGAAGCTGCGAGTGCCAGACTGTATATCAAACGCTCCTGTTAGACAAAGTGGGTGGTTCGAGGATAGTAGCAAGACGAACCCAAGGTGTGGCCACGAATCATCTTGCCGTTAGAGGTGGCCCAGTTGACAAGGGCATCAGAGCCACTGAAAGTGAATTGTCCACGGGTGTCTACGAGTGATGATCGATTAATCCTTGGTTAATACGACATCGTCTAAGTTACTCACTTTCGGTAGCATCCCACTTTCCATCGGTGTACAGTGAGTGTAGAACATCGTAGTAAAGCGACACGGCATACCTTCATCGAATTCTCGGGAGTGACCTGACCGAACTCAGCCTTGAGGACTGCAGCGTTAGCAGCGATGTTGAGAGTGCCAGAATCAGCGCAAGATCCCTGAAAATTTGATTCAGTATACCCCGATTTCACTATTCACGGTTTAAGGTTTACCCAGAACTTCTTGCCCTTGGCGGTGAACTTTGCGTTCAAGCCACTGAGGCCGGTGTTGGTGGGTGGGGCCGCAGTAGTTGTGGATGGGGGGGTAGTTCCTCCTCCTCCTCCAGAAGAGGGCAAGCACCTGATAAAGTAAATGGGTTTCAAGACGCCAAATAGATGTCTCAATACGCACTGGGAGTAGTAGGCGTTCGAGACCACGCAGGTGCTTCCAGCATCACCTAATGTATATGTTAGTAAGTAATAATACGTCCAAAAAGACAACTCAACGTACAGGTCGTCTATAGAGATTCGGTATGACGTGAACTATGAGGCCGAAAAGTTGTGAAAAGCACTTACGCTGCCAGAATAACCTATGCCTCCACCTAAGAAAAAAATAGATCAGACGCGAACATGAATCCAGCTGTTCAAAGACGTACATTGTCCCCAAACAGCAACAGCAGCGACGTGCTGAGCAGCCAACGCGAGCGTTACAAAAGCGAGGAGTGAGTTCATAGCTCGAGTTATACAGTAAATAAAGCGCTGCTGGCCTGACGACCCTAGCCTCCTTTCTCTCTTTTTTATGCGTCTGAAGGATCAAAAGAAGTTCGCCTGTCGAGAAATAATAATCCGTACAGATTCCGAGGTTGAGGAGGTTGCATAGTGAAAAGATATCATGCGACGCAGCAAAATGGTCGCATGTGAAAGAAACACGGTTTGAAGCCCTACTGTCGAGCGGGTGAACCTCGCACAAGAATCAACGCATATGATGGTACCGTCATGATATCTTAACGATGAAGCGGCAGCGAACCTGCATCATAGATTCCGGGAGTAGATCCGAGTGAATTGTTGGTAGGGAGCTGAGTAGACTCCGTCAACGTCATCTGGAAGTTGGAGCCTCCAGCTCGCAGTTCTCGTTTTTTAAATGAAACACGATAGAATTGACGCAAAGATAGATTTAAAAAAATGAAAGATAACTGAATCTTATGTAGAGAAGGATGAATTTCAATTCGTTTTAGCTCGAAGAGGAGGGGCCTGAAATAGTGTTGGTAGATATTTGCGAGAAGAATCGGAAAATCATGCGGCGATAATCCCCCATTTTGAGGATAGATCATGAACGATTGTATTAAGAACCTCCGCGGTGCCAATTGTGTTGGATTTCATGATGAGTGATCACTTGTGAGGCACCCGCTTACAGAAGAGGCCGTCCTGCTTGTCCGTTATTACATGATCGCAACAGCAACAAGGACCGATAAGTAAAACTTGGCGAAAAGGTCTTCCAAGTAAGAAAATTGCCCAGAGGTTGAAAATAAGCTATATAAGTTCCGCACTCGAGCGTTGTTCGACGTCGAGTCGGATCGAATACGAAGTGTGGCCCCCGGGCCCTGTCACCGGAGAATAGCGCGTCGTCTTCACGTGGCCGACGCGTTGGCAAACGAATTTTCCGAGTACCGAAATAGATGGTGTTGGGTTCACCTAGAGTCAGGGATCAAAGTCGTTCAACCGGACAGCAACGCAAGAATAGGGCATGTAAGATTTGAGGAAGGCGTGAAGACGCGGAAAAACAAGGCAACACGTGGTGTCCGGCCACTGGCGGACCGCATCTCCGGCATCTAATCTTCGGAATAACTGCTGTATATTAGAACTCCATTCTTTCAAGTTGACTGCTCGGCGTTTCTTAATTATCTCTCTGTATTAAAATTTTCAATACACTTTCATATATTCTTCATTGCGATCGGTACTCAAATAACAGCAATAATGGGTTAAAATCACAGAAATTTACTCTTTTTCGAACTTATAAGTTACATAGTTTCCGAGAGAATGGTTATTTTAAACTTCACTTTAACATGTCATCTTCAACAGTTGCATCAGAAGCTACAATCTTGCAAGGTTGGATGTAGCGAAGTGTTCCTAATGCTGTAGTTTTCTGTAGGAGTAATAACTTGCTCCTTCTCCATTAGGTTGTTCACGCACTGGGGGCACGCAAATTTGTTAGAAAAATATAAGACTTATGGATTTTTGTGTAGGTGAGCGATACATAGTCTCTCACTCAGCCGATACCTTTCTCTCAGTATAAATAAGTAGTATCTTCCAGCGACGATGGAGATATATATGTAGCTAATTGAAGTCTTGAGTAGTTTGTTAGCCAATGATGTGGTATAGCGAAGTGTCGAAGACCTCAACTCAGTAAAGTTAGATGGACTAAACCTACCACAGAGGCTGGAAATGCTACACGTAATAATTATATTAATATAGGAAGAGCGTATACTATATTTCAGCCAAATAATGTGTAACCATACATTATCTTGCCACTACATGTAGCCCAGCTGAAGCATCAGTATCGCAGATTGAGCTGTCAGAATACTACAGAGTGAGATTCAAGCTGCCGAAGATGGTGAAATTATAGTATCCAGACACCGCAGCTCCGTGTACCGTGTATGTGTACTCATGTGAAATGATGCGGTATGCCTACATGTGCACAAATAGATTTCATAAATCTACTGTCTAATTATAAGAAATATTACCATCTATGAAGCATTATCGTCTAGTCAGCACACACCTAAACACTTCCATGGTATATCCATAATTTTTGAACACCAGAACTTACTACCTCCTAGGACAAGAGTTTGTACATTACCAATCAACTCATCACTGGAATTCAGCTGTATTCACATCAGAGCTGTTGATGCTATCACTTGATCAGAATTTCTGTAGTAGATGGGTAGATGGGATGATCCTTAAATGTGGGAATGACATATCCACAAGTGAAATAATTGTCGGTGTTGCTGCTCCCACTGAACATATAATATGTAGCAGCCAACAATCCTCACCACATCCTAAAGTAGAGAGACAAGACACAAATGTACAAAAACTATAAAATTACACCGAAGGGGAGTCAAACCCCTGCCACTTGCTTATTACCTAATATCATGTGCTATCAGATATAAGTGGAAGGCAAGCATGATAACCGCTTCACCATCAGTGTGATGTATATTGGTGTCATGAACCGTTTATTTTGATTATTCTTTTCTTTTTCTTTTCTAATTACTGGAACAGTTTCTATAATTTCGACGACAAAGACAAACAAGACAGCTCATGTTACGACATGAGGATAACACGTAGTAGTAGTACTTATTTCATTTTGATCTCTTATTAGATACATGCTTGTAACACATGTCCGCAGTACGCAGCCGCAGTGCACAGTAGATATATTACTTACACATGTTTCCCTCATTATTTGACATGACTTAGTCGCACCTTATGTGCATGGTCTTCTAGTATATATAGTAGTAGTTTACGTTCTTATTCTGTAGTCTTTAGCTGGTCGTTTCTTACCGCCAATACAAAGGTCTCTACTCCTCACTCCTCTCCCTTCTCTTTCTCTTAAGTTGATAGTTTGCGTATCGACCTCGGCACTCTCTTAGTAGATTGTGTTGACGTGCCTGACAATTGGGCTCTGTTGATTAATATAAACTAACAGAGTGCACATGTCAATCTCTCCAGAGCTGTTATGTCCATGCCTTGGCAACTCAAACTCTGGACATTATCATCAACTCCGCATCCTTCACATACAACTCTGCACTCCCTAATTCCATTCACTGCATGTCCCTTGTGGACTTCTATTTAGATCTCAATTATCTATTATCTATTTCCTTTTATCTTTTGATTTATATCTATTTCCTTTAGTTACAATTATGCAGTTTGCTTCAAGTCTCATACATGTTTCATATTTTGTACCTAGTACTCTGCATTACTCGTCTCTACTCTGCAGCTACTCATCTCTGGACTTCTAGTATTTAAACCTACTTACTTCACTATGTAACCTCAATTTGAATATCAAACTAGTCTGCCAAACTACTCTGCCTTGAGTTACCACCAACTCTGCACTCCTCTGTAGAACTCCTGCAGGGAGTTCCTCTTCATTGTTCAGAACTCCACCTTGGATTCTGTCTTAGTTCACTCTCATCCTTCAGAAATCCAGGGACCACTAGTGGAAAGGGGCACAGCACATAAGCTGAAGCCAAAGTCCCTAATTCACCTCAAGGCAATCTGTCTCTGCACTCCACCCTTGTTATCCAACATCTCTGCCCCTAAGTCAGCCTTTCTCCAGCATAGCACTTAACAAGAGCATGTTGAATGGTTTGATATAAAATATCAATCTTGTCATCAAGAGTTGGATCCAAGCTGTCTAAAAATTTGATAACATAAAAGACTTGCAACTAAAGTCCAATGACAATACCACCCAAATCTGGAGCAATGTCACAAGTCCAGAATATGTACTGGTCAATGACAGTCTTTGCAGTTGAGGGGATAACAGCACAAGAAGAGAGACCCTTCTAAGTTCTCCTGGGTGCAGAGCACTAAGGTTCAGTTCCTCTAGCCATCTCCAGGAGTAGGTGTAGCTGCTCTTCAACCGTGATAGATGTCATGTGTTACCAACAAAGCAGTGGCTACTGATTGAAACTCCAGCAGGCCTTAGTATGATAAAACTCAATTCAAACTAACAAGAGTAGATGATCCCAGACCTGTAAAGTTGCCATATTATCTGCTGACCAAGATAGACCTAGAATAGAGAATCCAGCTGCTGCAGAATAGTTAACGAACTTGGTAGCTGTCACATCCTGGAATTTCATGTCCACCTTCTGACCCTCCAACTTACCTTCTGACTTTCATTCCGTCTTACTTCCCATTCATGGTCTTCCCTCTTCCTTATTTGTACATATGTTTCATCACCATAGTCCCCTTATGATTGATTTTAGTTACAAAGCCTTTACACAGCATTCCTTCCAACTTACTGTTTCACTCATTCTGCTACTACCATTTACTTAGTTTCTACAATACTATCATCACAGCCTCTTTCATCAGACTACCATTCCATCTCTGCTTCATCCCTAGTTATCTTCCATAGTATAAATACCTTCTGCTTGTATCCTCCACTCCTCAGTTTGAATATTAAAGTTAAACACTTTACTCTATTATCTACTTTGCCCTTGTTATTAGGACTTATGTCTGATAACAACTCTGACCCTCCAACCTACTTCCAACTCCTTGTTCCAACATCTCACAAATACTAGGACACAAATAGATTGCAAAGGGTGCAGCACATAAGCTGAAGCCAACGTCCATACAATCTACCTTCCGCCTCTTTCCATAAACCTTCCACTATCTTCTGACAATTTTGCTACTTGACAAAGTTCTGCTACTGTCAAGTAGCAAAATTGTTGGAAGATAGTGGAAGGTTTACAGAAAGAGGTGGAAGGTAGATTGTACAGATGTTGGCTTCAGCTTATGTGCTGCACCCTTTGCAATCTATTCATGTCCTAGTATTTGCAAGATGTTGGAACAAGGAGTCGGAAGTAGATCGGAGGGTCAGAGTTGTTATCAGACATAAGTCCTAATAACAAGGGCAAAGTAGATAATAGAGTAAAGTGTTTAACTTTAATATTCAAACTGAGGAGTGGAGGATACAAGCAGAAGGTATTTATACTATGGAAGATAACTAGGGATGAAGCAGAGATGGAATGGTAGTCTGATGAAAGAGGCTGTGATGATAGTATCATAGAAACTAAGTAAATGGTAGTAGCAGAATGAGTGAAACAGTAAGTTGGAAGGAATGCTGTGTAAAGGCTATGTAACTAAAATCAATCATAAGGGGACTATGATGATGAAACATATGTACAAATAAGGAAGAGGGAAGATCATGAACAGGAAGTAAGACGGAATGAAAGTCAGAAGGTAAGTTGGAGGGTCAGAAGGTGGATGTGAAATTCCAGAATGTGACAAACTTGGAGAATATCAGAGAAAGTTGGGAGTTAATTGCTCATCTTTTATGCATATAGTAGAAGAATTCTTTCAGAATGTGACTTCATATGCTTCCACATTCGGAAAGGGTATTTGGAAGATAGATAAAGAAAGAAGGGTTTGATACGAACATTTGAGCTGTTGCTGAAAAGCCTTGTCTTCATGACTGCCCACATGCCAGAGCCAAGAACCTACCACAATGATATTCTCCATGGTAAGGCACTGGATACATAACGAGCCCACAGCTTTGGTATTTGTGAGATAAAATATAATCGAAACGACAGATATATTTTGACCAATAGGATGGGATTTGCAGAGCCATTTGGAGAGAGTCCGGGTTAAAATATGTTTTCGAACCGCCTAGAGTATGGTCGAATTCTGAATCTTGGGTGAGTATCCAAGTCATAATTACATTCAGACTTATCTTGAATATGGGGAAATTTTCGTGTGGGAAGCATATATCATGAGTTAAGGCAGAATTCTAGACGGAGAAGCTATTACAAATTCTGTCGCCGAAAATGAATCCCATACGTCCGAAGAACTGACTGGAGATTCGTAGAAAATAATGGGTCAACTCGTAAGAAGCAAGCTAGGTTCCAGGAAGTTGATCCATCTCGAATCTGTTAGGGATGCTTCATAAAAGTTGTCAAAGTTGAAGTAAAAAGAAAAAGAACAGGCGTAGGGTGGCCGGCACACAGTCACGTGCTGCTCTCCTTGACGACCGATCTCCCCACAGCAGCCCTTAGTACATAATGATAGAGGTTGGTTCGGAGGGATTGATATAACTAATACTTTGCAAGAACATATTATGAAGCCACAGGATCTGCCTCGTGAAATTCTTGGGGAAATCTTTGTCTGCTGCCGCAACGAGCAGAATTCCGTACCCAGTATCGCTCGCGCTCCTCTACTTCTTTGCCAGGTGTGTTCTTCTTGGAGATCTGTGACAATATCTACTCCGGAAATGTGGGATACTCTTTCACTGGTATATGATATAGGAACTCTTCGTGGGGGTAACAGCATGCAGGGACTCGGAAGCTCGCATGAGGATGCTTCTGCGGCAGAGATTGTGAAGTTCTGGTTCGGCAGGTCTGGAATTCGACCGCTTTCTTTTATCTTGAGGAGAAAGGCATCTCGAGGTAATGTCATAGAAGAAGCACTTGCAGCTGCTATAGCCTCTTTCGCCGGTCGTTTCCAGCATCTGGAACTTCATGTAACGAGAGCGGTCAACTTACAGCCACTCTTCTCTCTCTACGATGATGGTTTTGAAGCTTTGAATACCCTTGAGCTTCGCCTTGAATCAGACAGAGCAGAATCTCAAATGATAATCACTCAATTTTCTCTAGCGCCCCGCTTGCGTAGAGTTGTTCTTTGCCTACAGCTACCTCAGATATCAATCCCATGGGCTCAAATCACACACCTCAGCATTCCTCGACAGTCGATCTCATCAACGGATTGGCAACGTATGATTCGAGCGTGTATGTCGCTCCAAGTTGGTATTTTTAGCCTCTATTTGAGATCGGATGCGATCTCTGTTACAGAGCAAACTACGTTCCCCGATCTTCATCGTCTCGGCATATGGTACAAGCATCGCGGGACTTCTGATATTTTCAGATCCCTTACTTTCCCTTCATTGTCAGACCTACGACTCGTATGCTCTTCAGACCGTATCGATTCTTCGGTTTGGCATCATAATGACCATTTATCAAGCCAACTCCATCGAGTGACGCATCTCACGGTCTCAAGTCTATCACTTCCAACGTCTAGCTTTCCATCTATGCTACTTTCAGCGTCGACGGTTACACACTTGACGATGAATCTTACTATGCGTCATAAACCCTTTTTTGTCATCCTCACATATCGCCCGTCACGCGATCAGACGACATGTGCCCTTCCTCACCTTCGTAGTTTTCATGTACATCTACAGAGAATGAAGTTAGATATCGTCCCAGCCTGCGTGAAGATGGTGCAATCAAGATGGAAGGTGCCTTCTGGATCCGCAGTATCGGAGCTAAATAAAGTGTCTTTTGTGTTTATTGACGATAGAGAACAAGGCCAGCAGCTACGAGAAAGACTCGTTCCCTACGCAAAACGTGGGCTCGATATAACTGTAGAAGTTATTGATGACGAAAGCAGTCTTTGTCCATGCTCTCTGTCATTAGATGCTTCCAGCTCTGCTTGCAAAGA